CTTGGCTATTTTCACTGCCTGCTACCATAGGCCTGTTAGCCTTGCTGGTTTTCCAGGTGGGCTGCAGGAAGCAGATCCTGGAAAGCCAGCAGTGCAGAATGGTGGGGTCTAAACAGCAAGCAGTCTCTGGTGCTAGTTCAGAGGCCTCCCAGCATGGCAGTAGGGGGTTTCTGGGTGGTGGTGGTTAAACCCCTTTTTTCTGTATTCGTTCCATAAGACGCACATACTTTCTCCCCCACTATTTGGGGGGAAGTGTGTCTTATGGAGCAAAAAATACGGTACTTATCTATTGCTTCCCATCCTATGATCAACTCTAAAAGCCATCTATAGAACCCATTTTATACAGTCAGACACCCATGTCCACTAGGGATTGGTTCCAAGCCCCCGCAGATACTGAAAACCGTGGATAATAGCAATCATTATATTTTATAATTATATAATATATCATACTATATCCTACTGCTTAAGGCAAGAATACAAACACACGCACACACATACACACAAATCACATTAAAAAGAAAAAGAAACAGGGAAAAAATGGAATTTTTTTTTCACATGCATTACCAGAATTGGACACTAGGGAGAAACAGATACCATGCTATGTATTCTTCACTGAAAAATGGGAAAAAATTTTTCACATGCATTGCCAGAATTGGACACTAGGGAAAAACAGATACCATGCTATGTATTCTTCACTAACACGTAGTTGTAGCATGGTCTCTAACTATATTTTTTTTCCTGTCTTTTTTTTTCTTTTAATCTTTTTAACATTTTCAGACCATGGATAAAGCACATGCCAGACAACATTCTGGTCACATTTTGCACTAACTTTTCATAGGCATGTCCAGGTGAAGTACATTCCAGTACTCTAATATGCAAGTAACTTCATCCATGGTGATAACAGGGCACTGGAGTAGCTATTCAAGTTTTATTCATGATAGTTTCTTTTAATGATGAGACAACATAGATCTAACTTGGTTGTAAGTGAAGCATTCTGCTTTCTACTGCAGTGATCTGCATTGGAAACAAAATTTAATAATCAGTAGATATTTTATAGAACTAAGCAACTCCAAACCATTTGTAAGGAGAATTTCAGTAGTATTTTTCAGGCATTCAAATTCTATAAAAGGTGGGTGGGATGTCTCACAGTAGTAATGCTTCTCTGTCATTTTAATTTATTTTGGTTACCATCAAGTGTTTGTGGCAGCAGCAGAACTCCTCTCGGTAATTAACCACCATTTTGTTTCCAAATAATACTCTGAGTCTACACATAGCTGCTTTCTGAGGCATACTGGAGAGAAAGGACAGTTCCAGAGGGGAACAGAAATCAGTAGAGCTGTTGAGATATGCCCCGTATGACTGGCTTATTCCCAAGCTAGGTTCTATGTTTTGTAATGACTCCTACTGCTTAAGGCAAGAAAAGTGTCAATGCACCCCCATTTCTGCAGCAGCTGAGTGCCACTTCCCTTCCCTGTCAGCTGCTAGCATCAGTGCCAGCTCTACTCTTGGCAGAAGAACCAAAAGGGTTTCAGTGTTCCTATGCAAAGCAAGTAGAGAAAGGAACAATGGAAATGGAGGGCCTCTAGTTGGAGTAGAAGGGCAATTTGCCACTCCTAGTGCCTGTCCCGCTGAGCGAGTCATCTCACAATGTCTAATGGTGGAGATAATTAAGAAATCTGAGAAGTTTCTAAGAAGCCTCTAAATTTAAAAAAGTGCAGTTGTCCACCAAAAGATTACCAGCATGCCAAGCAGAGCGACCAGAGTTTAAGAATATTGTTTACTTCCTAGAAAAAACAAGAGACCAGAAGGCACTACACTTGTTTTACTTGTGCCAAGCAAACAAATATAATGCTGACTGGTCTTCAGAGAAAGAACCATGATCATTGTATTTTTAACAAAGTGTTTCAAAATGGCAATGCTCTCTTAGGTAACAAATAGGCAAATAAAAAAAAGATTCAGACAAAAACTATGAGACTGATAAAAAGCATAAAGAGCAAATTATATTAGGAATTCTTGTCCATTTTCAAAGATACATTGTTTCTTTCATAAAGAAACAAAAAACAAGCAATTTCACAGAGCTTGAAACAAAAAGCAGCATGTTGAAAAGTTGCAGAGAATTAGTTACACTTTGGTTTGTTTTAAAAAATACTTCCCAGATGCAGCACCTTGTTTAGGAAAAAAACAACTCAGTAATTGTGAGGCACCAGAATGCAGCTTGGAAATAGCACATTAAAAGAAATAAACAATGCTACCTGGAAGGTTTATTTATTTGTTTTAAAACTAATGAGAATCAATATTACTGGTTTTTTTTAGCGTTTCAATAGAATGATAGAGAAGTTAGATTTGTGTATAACAAATAATCTTACTTATTGTCACAGAACATTTCCCATAGCCAATAGAGACAGGGAACATAGGATTCAGAGGCTGATGTGTTACAGTCCATGCAATCAGCAGTTTGACATTTATCTGCAGCTGGACTGTAACACATCAGTCTCCAGGTAAAGAGTCTTACAAAGGAAAGATGCTTCCTTTTGGTCCCTCTAAAACTGCCATCATAATATTTCATGGGGCTCCCATTTTATGATTTGTAAAATCTGATTTCCTCCTTTCATCTACCTACGTAGAACTTCTAGTTCTTAATACAGATGACCAGCAAAATCTGAATAAAACTATTATAGCATGAATCTGCAAATAGCTAAAACATGTAAAAAGTTAGTCTGATTTCCATACAAATGGACCTTGCAATTTCTAAGCATTGCTGACAGGGTCAACTTATTAAATCTGGTACCATTCAAGACTGACTGGGCAATTCCAACCATAACCTTCTCAGCAAATCTTGACAGAAATTATTATTAGAAAGATTTACCCTTATTATATGCTTATCAGAATATCACCATGCTATTGTCTGTCTGAACTCAACTTTATTTTAAAGTCAAACATACAGTAAGTAGTACAGGAAAATAACCTTTATGCATGCATATTGTATCAGTTACCACATGTAAAAAAAAATCCCTGAAATAAAATTATGCCTGGATTTATAACATATAACACATTCTTTGTATTATTATTATTATTATTATTATTATTATTATTATTATTATTATTATTATTATTATTATTATTATTATTATTATTATTATTATTATTATTATTATTAGTATTAGTATTAGTATTAGTCCCCGTAGTCATTGGGGCTTTGGAACAATATCAAGAAATTTCATCCAGTACTACAAGCAATTGCAGATCTCAGAAATCACACCACCATCAGAGACACAAAAAATAACATTAGGAACAGCATACATACTATGCTGATATTTAACAGATACAGTACTTAATTTTTTTGTTAAAAATTCTATCTGTTATACAATGTTTTTATAATTTTGATTGTGCCTGGTGTTTCTGAATCATCATCATCTTCATCATCATCATCATCATCATCATCTACTATGTTGATATTAACAAATACTTAGTCTTTTGGTTAAAACTTGTATCTGTTGTGTAATACCAGTTAACAGTATGCTGTTACAAAGTTCACTCAGGCTAAGAGCCTTGTGGCGCAGTGGTTTAACTGCTGCACTGCAGTCAAAACTGTGCTCATGACCCGGGGTTCAATCCCAGGTAGCCGGCTCAAGGGTGACTCAGCCTTCTATCCTTCCAAGGTTGGTAAAATGAGTACACAGCTCGCTGGGGGGGGGGCAATGTGTAGCTTGCATAATTCACTTGTAAACCGCCCAGAGAGTGCTTGAAGCGCTATGGGGCGGTATATAAGCAGCACACTTTGCTTTTTGCCTTTAACTGTAAGATGTAAACAAACAACTCACCTGCAAGTGCTGAGCGTTGTCTGTCATATTATCTTCACGTCTACGGACTTCTTCAAGCAACTGGGCATTCTTCTTCTTTTCCATTTGTTGATTGTGCTTCAGATTGGCCACCTTCTTGTTTTGATCCTTCATATGTCTAAGAATGGTATGCACATGCCTGTTAATTCTAATGGTTCCATTAACTACGTTACACTGCAATGGCACAAATAATTTCATTACCAGAGTTATCTAGCACTTAACCTAAAAGGAGGAAATAATTATTTAAAAATCAATACACTGCATTAGAAATGTAATTCTGGAAATAACAATAATTTTCATGTGTTCAAAGCACGAAAATATATCTGTGACATAAGATGAATGTGTGATGCAATTTTTAAAAAAGTTTCCTATGAGGTTTCTTGCATTTGTAGTTGTTGACTAAAACTTCTTCAGGTCCCCAGTCTCTTCTATCAGGAGAAAAAAAGAAAGAAAAAAGAAAAGAAAAAAGAAAGAATCCAATATTTCACAGAGCGAGTGAATGAATAAAATATTCTCAGTTAAACACAAATCAACTTTTCTATTTGCTTCTTTGTTAGACCACCTAAATTACTGGTTTATACGCTTGTTCTCTATATAACATAATAATGGAAATCACTCTTACCATTTAAAATGTCTTAATAAATTAAAGGATGTAATTCACAGATACTTTTTTTATTCAGCAAAAGGAATTAATTCTATAGATAAAAGCTATTTAGCGTGAAAAACAAATTCATGCCTAACATTAATAAAGTAACATTCCTCACAGAATTAAGCATAGGATTCAATTATAAAGCTTAAAACTAGGGAAAATATATTCTTCAACTATTGTAATTATTTGGCATTATATAGGCAGGCACTGTCAAGAAATACTGGAAAAACTAATCTTAAAACAGACTTTCTACCTCTGTAGGCTCTTAGATATTAATTTATTTGACTCTCATGATTCTGAGGAATTTCCTTCTTTTTATCTATATAATAATAGTCATGTGCAAATTCCAAATGAGATCTACACACTAATCCTTTTTAGGTAAAGGGAAAGTACATTTTCCAACACTCATATGATTAATAGACATTTTCCAATTTCTTCTGGAGCAGATACTACAGTAAGAAATATTTAGTTACATTACCAAGACATACTCATACTTAAAATAAATGCATTTAAATCAATAGGCTAACTTAAGTCCTACTGAATTCAGTGGGTACAGAGTATGCCTAAAGTTTGATCCAACCCAACAAATCAATTAGTAGGGTAGCTGTATCAGTTGGTCCCCACTCTCTTATTCACAAAATGAGCCTAAACCTCCACTGGTTTTCTGGAAATATCTGGTAACTAAGAGCATTACTATGTCTTAAGATCTTTGTTAAACTGCAGTAACACATAGCAAAGCTTCACAGAACAGTGACCAAAGCACCATTTTTACTTGAAATCAGGTGGTTTTTATAAGACAAACCTATTTCTAGAGTAAAAACAAGCAACAACCACAGACACTCAATACTATCAACAAATTTACTGCCTAAAACAAGGTAATTACTACTACCACATTTATAACAGAAAATAGCAATTCATATATTTATACCTCAACTGAAAAAATATAATACAGGGAAAGGAAAGGACAATAAAAATATTTATTCACCTATTGTGCAATATGATTTCAGTTAATTATCATACACTTATATCCTTCCTCTTATATCTGAAGAAGTGGACATGTCCAGTAAAGCTCACCTTAAAATATAGCAGTTAAGTCTTTAAGGTGCCACACATTTTTTTCCTTTATTTTTTATTTTTCTTTTCTTTTTGCCATTTATATCCTGCCACTTTCAGAATTTTAAAAGCATAAGAAACATCACATCACTCCCCTTACTGCCAGAAATCTCAAATATTTCTAAACCTGTTCCCAACATGTATTAAACTATAAGCAAGCAAACCATCTCAGAGACCCTTCTCTTTCAGTCCTGCTGCCATAATCTGACTGCACCCATATTCCCTACTTGTGGGATAGTCCCAGTGAAAGAAATAGGAAGGTTACTTCCTCCATTTCCTATTTTCCTTGAAAAGTTGTTCTAGAACACAGAGAATCCTCTGAAACAATGAAAGAGGTGGCACTGGGCAGTACAAAAGTAAGATGAATGGTTAGCATTACTGAAAATTCATTGAGCAGAAATCTTAGTAAAATCTTGCCCCTTCTGCAAACAGAAGGAACTATTCAATTTATAAAAGAAGAAATCCAGAGCCATCTCTATGCCTATATAAAACTTATACCATCATGTATCTTAGTGGTGCCAGCTTGGTAGTTCATCTTCCTATCAATGGGCTAGACAAGGGCAAACAAGCTGAAACTGAATCTGGACAATATAGATATTGTGTTACTGGGGGGGAACCTCCTGACAGGTTATGGGGTAACTTACCAAGTCTAAATGGGGTTACACTCCCCCTAAAAGACTGGGTTTGCAACTCAGGCATTACTCTGAATCCGCTCAGAGGGGAAAGCCCTTTGAGAGCTCCGAAGGCAAAAAGGCAGGGAGAAACGGCGGGAAATTCGAATTTCCAGCCCTTTCTCCGTGCCTTTTTGCCTTCGGAGCTCTCGAAGGGCTTTCTGCCCAACATCGGAGGAAGCCCTTTGAGAGCTCCGGAGGCGTACAAGCCCTGGGAGACCTCCCTGGGGGTCCCCGCCGCCGCAATCCGCGGCTTTGGAGCTCTCAAAGGGCTTTCCCCCCGACATCGGAGAAAGCCCTTTGAGAGCTCTGAAGGCAAAAAGCAGGGAGAAAGGGTGGGAAATATAAATTTCCAGCCCTTTCTCCCTGCCATTTTGCAGGGAGCCATTTACGAATGGCTCCGTTGGCAGAAAATGGCATTGACTTGCGAACAGAGTCTCGACCTCATTCGTAGCTGCATTCTGGACCCGCTGAAGTTTCCTGACATTTTTACTTTGGCAGCCCCACATATAGTGCATTACAGTAATACAGCCAGGAAGTAACTAGGGAGTGCAGTTATTTGGGAACCTCCGGACATGAGAGAGAGACTTTTAAGATCTGAAAATTACTATTAGGAATAAAATACCACCCACTGTTGATTATGTCATTAGCTTGCAAACATGCAGCTCTGCCAACTGGATGCTAGCTATCATCTATAAAATTTATGATGAACTTGAGCCAGTTTAATCAGAATGTGGCTGTGTAACTGCACTGGTGCATGAAGATTTGTTTGTTGTGTTTTGTTCATGCTAGTGATTGGACGAGCACTGTTTATTCAGGTCATGCAGTTCTGTGTGTTGTGTCAGAAAACTGTATGAAGGGTTGAAAATGCTCACTTCACAGCTCTCTCCTTCACTGTTACAGCATCTACTACGTAGAGTTCTGTTTTCATCACGTTTTCATCAGTTAAATGCTCACATGTGAGGCATTATGTCCTGTTAAGGAACAGAAGTGAATGGCTACTGACACACAGCTTGGAAACTTGTTGTTAAGTGCCAGCAAATGTCCTCCTACTTACAGTGACCCTATGAATGAGCAATCTCAAAAAAAACCTGTCCAAAGAAAACTGCTCAGCTCTTATAAACACAAGCCTGTGATTCATTTAGGGAGTCAGTCCATCTTGTATTTGGTCTTTCTCTTTCTTGCTGCCTTCTACCTTTCCCAGCAGAGAATCACCTTCTTATGATGTGCCCAAAGTAGGACAGCTTCAGTTTCATCATTTTTTGCCTGCACAAATAGTTTAGACTTGATGTGCTCTTTGAGATGGACATTTGGTTTTTCTGAAATGTTGGCAAAATTAAACAAGGAAAAGAAAAGAGAGAGAGAGAATGCAACTTATAGTGGCATTTTAAACATGAACTAATTATTTTCAGTGTGAGCTTTCTGTGTCAAAACTCTGCAGACAAATATCTGAAAAAGTGAACTTTGCTTCATGAAAGCTGACACTGAAATAAAACTGCTAGTCTTTGAAATACCACAAAATGTTGCTTTTATTCTTTCTCTTTTTTCCTTTTAATTTTGAATTTGACCAAGATTTAAGTCAAATAATTTTCCAAGCTATGGGACAGAAGCAGTTTCTTTCTCTTTGTAGCTATTCTATCTTAGAGGGCCCCAGTATCTCACCTCTTAGACAGATTAACATGGGTACTTCTTTGGAAATTGCTACGTCTTTTAAAATAGGTAGTGATGGTTTCAAGCCCCAAAGACCACTGTACATGCATTTTTTAAAAGAAACCCTTGACTTCCTTGTTATCCCAAAATAATTAAAATAATTTTTAAAAGTAAAAATGCTACAAAAGCTCTGTATGTTTTGTATAAAATTATTTTTAGGCCATTCACCACAACCAGAAAAGTAACTGAAACAGCTACAGTATATCACAAATATGCAGTGAGGTTATCTGTCGTGACATTACAATTGCACTGTGACTTAGCTTTCTCTTAATTTTTGCAGAAAGTGAACGTAACACTTTCAAGCACCATTCTGCTCAGAAATGACAATGTCACGATAAGGAGTATATAACTGAAAATGATGACACAGCTAGGTAACAATTTTAGACATATAGCACACATAAGATTTGTTTATGCCCTGGTGGAGCATTCAGAGGTCCACTACATGATAAAAACATCTAAATTTACACAGATGGAAACAAATTAACAAGCAATGCACAGTCATATCCCTCAAGTTTGATTCAATTCAAACTTGTTACCATGAAGTAAGGCTTAGCTTCAATAATACGTATGCATTGTGTAGTTACAACTTAATGTTTATGTTGTGTGTGTTGCTTTCCATCCAGTTAGATTTGCCATGACTTAGAAGGCTCCCTGATGACTTTTTCTTAATCAGAATGACAGCATGTTGTTCCATTAACAGAAATGGAAACTGTTTTGATACAAATGCTATTCAGTAGGAAGGCCACCACAAAGTATAATAGGTCTAGGCTTTATAAGATACCCTGGGCAGCAATTTGTTAAGCTATCAGAGAACTTGATATAGATGAAGTAATGCTGTAGGAACGCTCTGTTTTCACAGGGGACTCTCAGAGTGGAAGGTGAGAACTTAACAGCTACGTACATTTTTTAAAAAAATGTATATTCACCAAAATGGGAATAAGAACTAAGAAGCATAATAAGGGATCATTCTGGGTA